ACCAAACCTTGGGGCAGGAAGTGTGACTTTTTAGGCTCAGAATTTAATAGTAGTTATCACAGAGCTTGTCAGATTTGAATAGGTAAAGTTTATGGACTTTTGAATTTTAAAAAAATGTAATATTAAGTGGCAATTTTGAAAAAAAATTCTTAGCATAAAATACGCACATCTTAGAGTAATTAAGATAATTACTCTATAAAAAACCCACATAGATTAATAAGAAAAATAGAAAATTCAGTAGCTAAATGGCAAAAAGCACGACAGGGCAGTTCTCAGAAGAGAATGTACAGTTCATAAACATCACTAGGAGTCAGAGTGCAGCTAAACAAGGAATCATTTTTTAAAATCTAAATTACTTATACTTCTTTTCTTTTACTAATATCCTATACTAGGGAGAGTTCAGTGCATTCTCATAAATTGCTAATGACCATATAAATTAGTAAAAATTGCTTTTGAGAAGCAGTTTGGCAATGTGTACCAAAATCCACAAAAAATATCCTTTTTGTGTCCCAGTAATTTTATCTCTGGGAATTTATTTTAAATAAAAAACAAAGTACGGGGGTAAAATAAACATTTGCACCACAGCACGACTATGTTAGTTTAGTAGATATTTGGTAGCAACCAAAGGTCTGGCAGTAGGGAAGTGTTTGATTAAATCAGGATGCATCCACCCAACGGCGTGTTATATACACGTGGAAAGGAGTGGTCGTAACAGCTGCAGCAACGTGAGGAAATGCTTTCACTGCTATGGGAAATGACACATAGCAGCACGCAAAATTGTCTGTGTACTCTTTGTAGTTTTTTATGTGCTCATGGAAAAAATGACCAAGGATATATACACCAAAATGTTAACAATGGTGTGTTAGAGTGTGGGATAAAGACTTTAATTGATATGTCTTACAAAAAAATACACTTTTCTCTAAAGTCTTACCTAAAAACTTACTTAAAACCTAAATGACGACAATTAAAGAAATTGACTCAGTATTCATCTTTCCACAAAAGAGCTTTGAAGGTACAATCGTGTGGGAGAGCCAAGACCTCCACGGCCTTGTGTCAAGAAATCTTCACAGAGTGACGGTGAATGACGGAGGGGGAGTTCTCAGAGTCATTACAGTAAGTCACCCTTTGTTCTTAGGTTGTTCGGTAACATACTTTAGCTTTTTTTTCTTTTTTAATACATAAAAGTGTTTTAAAATTTACTTTTAGGGCCGGCCCGGTGGCGCACTCAGTTGAGTGTGGCACTTGGGAGTGTGGCGGCGCTCCCGCCGAGGGTTTGGATCCCATATGGAGACCAGTCTGCTCACTGGCTGAGCGCGGTGCTGGGGCGCGACACCAAGGGTTGCGATCCCGTTACCGGTCATGAAAAGAAGACAAAAAGGAAAAAAAATTTTACTTTTATACCAGCCTAGGCTGTATGGAGCAGTGATTGTCTGTTTTAGAACATACGTACTAGAAAATATTGTTGTCACCATAGTAAAGATGAAATACAAATGTTCTGTGTGGTTCTGTAATTCCGTTAGTGAATACACAGTTTTGCCTTAAGACTGGTGCATTATTAAAGTATGATGTTTTGTTTCTCAATAACTTTTAAGGTAAGCATTCTTTAAGAATACTTGCTCATCCCCAAACAGGCCAGCCACCAAAAAAAAAAAAAAGAGTACTTGCTCAATATTCATAATATTCACTATCTCACCTGATAGTAAAATGTCAGTAGTTAAAATATTAGAGATAAAAATATCAGAGGTTGATTGGTTGGCTCAGCTGGTTAGAGCATGATGTTGACAACACCAAGGTCTGGGTTTCAATCCTTGTTACCAGCTATCCACCAAAATATATATATATATATGTATTTATATGTGTGTGTATATATTTATATACACACACATATCACAAAATAAGATGGAGTACTTGCTTTCATTTATGTTGCNGGAAAGTTTTATGGAATTTATACGTTTTTTTCTTTCCTTATTTTCAAGGCAAATGTCTTTAATATCTTGCCTCATTTTCCATTTTTTAAATCTCCTTTTCTATTTATGAAACTTAAAAATATCTAGAATGTGCCAAAGTTCTATAGTATTTGAATTGGTTACAGTAGAGGAAATAAGTTTACTTCTGGGTTGAGGATTAGGTTCAAATGTAAAGATTCAAATGATCTGCTTTGGGGGTAAAAATAGCTTTAGAGGGCTAAAGATAGCTTAAACACTTAGCTGACTTAAAAAAGTCAGATAACTTAGTAGCCTGTTCTTAGAAACCTCATGTGCAAATGAAGGTTTTCACCATAAATGCATAGAACTGAGAGGTTTTTTTTTTTTTTTTTTTTTCTTTTTCC